ACACACACACACACACACACACACACACACACACACACACACACACACGGAGACAAGCCAGATCACCAGCCAAATAAGGACTTGTTTACCCCTAAGAGCGGAAGGTGGAGACCGGCGCCATCTTAAGGGCGCAGCACAATGCGGCTCTCCACAGGGTAGAGAGAGAGAGAAAGCATACAGTGGGGAGGGGAGAGGAAGTGTAGGGAGGGGGAGGGGTGATGGGGAAGAGGGGGGAGAGAGGGAGGAAACCAAAATGTGGGTTGTATAGCGAATAGCCTCTGGGGGAGAGAAAGCCCAACCCCTCCGCTGGGAAGTTCAGGGTAGAGGGCGGGGTATGTCAGCCAAGCCCTGTAACAGGTAGGGACTGAAGGATGCTGGGAGAACCTGGAGGCCAGGTCCACTTTAGTATGTTAAATAGGCACCTCAGCTGCTCGTCCTAGGTGCTGAATTTCAACAGCTGATCTCCCCATATTTCTCTAACTCTGACTTTTAATCTAATATCCTTGCCCCTGCCCCCATGAAGAATATAAATACATCTTGTCTTCCTCTTCACCAATTTAGTGCACAATGAACTCCCTCTAACTGGGTATGCGTTTCCAAGGTGGTGAGACCTTTGTCGCCCGCTTTATAACAGTGACTGAACAGTCACACTTCATTCCTTTGTTTCTGGTGACTTTAATGAACAGATGCTGTGGTCTTCAGCGGCACCTTAGACAAACGTCTTAACCGAACGCTGAGGTTTCTGAACACTCTACAGGTGGCAAATGTTCTAAGAAAACAGAATTAAATACTGTGCAGGGTCCCTCACGTCTATAATCCTATCACTTGGGAGGCAAAGGCAATAGGATTTCCACAAATTCCAGGCTGGTCAGGGTTACATAATGAGTTCAAAACCAGCCAGGGTAACATAGTGAGTTCAAAGCTGGCCAGGGTAATAGTGAGTTCAAGGCTAGCCAGAATAACATAGCCTGTCTCTAAACAAGTGCTGGAACCCCATTGCTTGAGGACAAGGAACTCAGAAAAGTTATTCTCAGCTACACAAGGAATTTGAGATCAGTAGACACCTCATAAGACATTGTTGCAGCCGGGCAGTGGTGGCACACGCCTTTAATCCCAGCACTTGGGAGGGAGAGACAGGCGGATTTCTGAGTTCCAGGCCAGCCTGGTCTACAGAGTGAGTTCCAGAATAGCCAGGACTACACAGAGAAACCCTGTCTCGAAAAACAAAACAACAAAAACAACAACAACAAAAAAGACATTGTTGCAGAAGACACACATATCACACACAGATAAAAATAATTTAAAGGACATTAGTAAAACTGCAACAAGCACAGAAACATTTAGGTATACATGCTAGTTCTGAGAACTGAGCCCATGCTGCCGACATGAAAAGCATGCATCCTACCACTAAGGTGGGCATCTCTAGCTCCTATGTTACTAATTTTCAGAAGGTTTTTTATATGTACATGTGTTTTTGCCTTTATGTACTTATGTGCACCATGTGTGAGCCTGGTTGCCCGAGGAAGTCAGAAGAGAGCTTCAGATTCTCCAAAAATGGAGTTACAGATAGCTGTTGGCATGTGGCTGCTGGTAACAGAACTCAGGTCCTCTTCAAGAATATCATGTGCATGCCAGATGTGGTAGCACATATCTTTAGTCCCAGCACTGGGGAGGCAGAGGCAGGCAGATCTCTGAGTTCGATTCCAGTCTGGTCTACAGAGTGAGTTCCAGGATGGCCAGGGCTGTTACACAGTGAAATCATGTGTCAAAACAAAAAAAGAAAAAGGAAAACAAAAACCAACCAAACAAAAATTGGTATGTGCTCTTAACTGTTGAGGTCTCTCCCCCCAGTTAGTAGTATTTAATAGGTGCACTGGAAAAGCAAAACAAGTATATAGTTTGCAAATAATTATGCATATATTGGTATAAATGATAAAAGGTTTTATTGGTTCAATGTGCAATTTTTTAAAAAATTGAGACCACTGTTAAAATGAACACTTGAAGCCTGACAATCATGTTTCCCTAGAGATAAGAGAGAAAGCCAATAAAAGGAAAGTTGATCAAGAATCTCGCCAAGGTCTGAATTAATGCAAGAAAAAAATTTTCAGGGCTGGTAAGATGGCCCAGTGGTTAGGAACAGTTGCTGCTCTTGCAGAGGGCCCTAATTTGGTTCCTAGCACCTGCATGGAGTCTCAAACTGCAACTCTAGTTCCCAGTGATCTGACGCCCCCTTCTGGTTTTCTTCGGCACTGCACACGTGCTGCACACATGAAGACAAAAACACACACATCAAATAAATCTTTTTTTTTTTTTTTTTTTTGAGACAGAGTTTCTCTGTGTAGCCCTGGCTGTCCTGGAACTCACTCTGTAGACCAGGCTGGCCTCGAACTCAGAAATCTGCCTGCCTCTGCCTCCCAAGTGCTGGGATTAAAGGTGTGTGCCACCACTGCCCGGCCAAATAAATCTTTTTATAGAGAGATATTTTAGATAGTTCAGATGATTTTTAATTGTGTGGTAGGGTCATGTGTACGGTATGGTGTATGTGTGTATGTGTGACAGAGAGAGAGAAAGAGAGAGAGAGAGAGAGAACAACTTTGAGGAGCTGTTTTTCACCTTCTACCAGGCAGGCCTGGGCAGTCTTGTTATTTCTGTCTCACACTCACTGCATTGTTCCCTGTGTGGCCAGTGGTTCTGTTTTCACAGCTCACTGTAGGAGTACTGGGATTATGAGTGCCTACCACTGGATCTATTTTTTTTTCTTTTAATTTAACATGGGTTCCAGGAATCCAACTTAGGTCACCAGGCTGCCGTGGAAAGTGCCTTTACCCACTGAGCTGCCTCCCCAGCCCCTAGATAAGATTTAAAATAGGGAAATAGCTATAAACAAAAGCTAGGAGAGCTGGGTGTGGTGGTGTACCTATCCCAGCACTCAGGAGGCAGAGGCAGCAGGATCTCCGCACATTTGAGGCCAGCCTGGTCTACAAAGTGAATTCCAGGACAGCCAGGCCTACACAGAGGAAACCCTGTCTCAAAGAGAGAAAAATAAAATGAGAGAGAGGCAGAGAGACAGAGACACAGAGACAGAGAGAGAATGGGGAGGGGGAGAAGAGTAAGAGAAACAAAACTGGAGCGTGTGAGCTCTTACAGATGCTGGGAGGAAGGTGTGCTGGAACAGCACCAGCAGCTTTACTGCTAGTGCCCATTCACTGTTGGTAGAACTGCCAGAGGCAGAGCCGCACATAGTGCACTGGACCTACCGGGACTCCTGAAACCCAGTTAGACCCATTCCTGGTGCTGATGAGGTGGCCTTTTGGCTTCCAATGTCAGAACTAGGCAGAATATGTCTCTCTTCCTGCTTTTCTAATTTCTCACCAGAGTCTCTCCCTCTGGTGGATCCTAACAGGGAGGTAGCAGTCAAGGGATTGTGGGAAACAGTCTATAGGTTCTCTCTCTCAGCTACTGTGGAGGCCCGCTCCTTTGACCATAAGTGTAGCCATTTTGTATCCAGTCTCCATTTTGCTCACAAGGTGAAATTAAGTTCAGGTTCTCAGTTAATTATCCACAGACGACACTGACAACTTCTCCTCAGAGGGCATAGCAGTACGGTGGTAATTCCCATGCTCTGGTACCTCAATGCTCTGGAACGCCCCGTTCACCACCCATCCTTAGCTCACTCAGGAGCAATCAGCTTAAAAGCCAGCTGGTAATTCTTTGTCTAGTTAGCCAAAATGTAGCACTGGCTCCACCCTTGCCTTCGGAACTTCTGAACTTGGCTTTTCCTATAAAAAAAAAAAAAAAAACACCTGAGGTAATGAAAGGCCCCC